ATTACTATTACTACTACTACTACTACTACTACTCCTGCTACTACTACTACTACTACTACTACTGCTACTACTACTACCTACTAACTACTAACTACTAACTACTAACTACTAACTACTAACTACTAACTGCTAACTACTACTACTACTACTACTACTACTACTACTAGTGCTACTGCTACTGCTACCGCTGCTAGTACTGGTACTAATACTACTGCTGCTACTACGACGACAACTACTACTACCTCCACGACGACGACGACTACCACTGTTACCACCTCCTACTACTACTACTACTACTACTACTGGTAGCACTGCTACTGCTACTGCTACTGCTACTGCTACTGCTACTGCTACTACTACTACTACTACTACTACTGCTGCTACTACTGCTACTCCTACTGCTAGTCTTTGTCCAGGTGCACTGCTACCGGTACTTCTACGACTGCTTTTTTGGATGCCAACCACGACAACTCGTTCATGAGAGCTGTGCTGACTGCTGACACAGTGTGCGGCCTCAGGCCCAGCATCGTCCTCAGCGCAGCGGGACGCACGGTCCGCCGCCCAATATGCCACAGCGGAGTCTGGAAACTACAGTAGGGCTTGTAGGCTGGCGTCGTAGGGCTTTGGGCGGATCTTTGGTTCCGGGTTACGGATGTGTGCGCATGAGGCATCAGGAGGCACCACGTTTGGGTTTGTCCTACTTTTGGCGTTGAGGCTGCATGCGTATCGCAAAGGCTCGGGTGTTTGTGTCAGTTTAGCAGGGCTGATTGTTCAACGCAGTTTTAGGGAAGGTTCGCAGATCTAGGCAAGTATGGTCTATGTTTGGATGCTTACAACCATTCTGGGCAAGCGATTCTCCGATCCCAGAAGCCCAGGCTCACAGCAGGTCGAAATCGAAGCCTAGTAAAACGCCGGACCCTCACGCGTAGTTAGGAGCGTTGGGTTCGCCTGCCGAATGCTCACTGACAGGAAAACTACCTCATCTTTCTGCACTGGGCCTTCTTATCCACGAGCGTAACCATCTGCTCTGGGTCCATGGCCGAAAGGACACATCTGGTGGCAGCTTGGCCAGCACACAGTAATCATCATCTCCTCTTTCAGGCTCCCACCTCTGCAGCTCCAGTGTACCTAGCTTTGAGGTACTTTGGACTCTACGGGGTTTGATGATTACAGGGGTTGAGACTGCCTCACTTCGCTCTTCGGAACAGTGTCAGGTTTAGCATTGAGGTGTTTGTTTTTTTTGTTTGGGGTGGTGAAGGTGGGGATAGTGGAGTTAGGTGGGATTGTTTTGGGGTTTTGGGGGCTCATGGTGTCCCCTCCGCGAGACGGTAGTGTTTCCTGGTAGTGAAAATAAACCGCATCCAGTCGTGCCGCAGCAGACAAAGGAAGCAGCTGTTTCGATCGAGCTCGTAATGTCCAATGTAGCCTTTTCTTGTTGAACAAGTTTATTGCCTCGGACCATAACGACGCAACATTGTAGCCAGAATAGCCAAAAGAGAGGCCACATGGGAGACTGGAGGTAAACCGCGGCCCTAAAGCTTAGACGTATGGACCAAGGCCTATCTTTGCTATGCAGTGCCTTGGCTCGGTATGGTCATGAAGGGGTCTGGAGTCTTGATGTGCAGCCGTTGTTCAGCGCGCCCGTGTCACACAACATGCACAGTGCGGGCGACAGATACAGGGTGAAGTGCTCGAGTTGCGGAAGTTGCCGCAGCTTGATTCGGAGAAAAGCACGATTGAATCGGAGACTTCCTTCAATGCATGCAGCGGCATACAGCAAACAATCGCCCCCAACCTTAAAGCCTCGCACACATAGCTGTGCCATGTAAGCCTTAAAAACCTAAACCCTGAACGCGTATAGCTGTCACCGCGAGAGAAGCTTAGGTAGTCATGTCCGGTTTCGCGTATCCGATCTTGGCCGAGAGTGTCTGGGGCGCTCCAGCTGCAAGTTCCTAGTCCTACTCCTTTAATCTTTCAGGTTTTGGGGTTTAGTATAAGGGTTTCTGTATGAACTACAACAAGTTTCATGTCATAATTAACTAGAATAGGGTTTCCGTAGGGGTTCTTGAAAGGGTTCTGTTAAACTTGGAATGGAGTCTTGGGGTTGATAAGAGTGTATATGTTTGTTTTTAAGCATAGAGCTGCAAGAGGGTACCATTGCATCGGTTGGTGTTGGCTTGCACTCACCAATCCGCTGTGTGTGAACAAAGAAAAGAGCATACCAGGATTCTCGAGCCAAGCTGAGCTCCAACTACTACACGAAACGGTGTGGCCGATATTTGCAAGAGGTGGCTGATGTCTACTCCACCATAAGTGCATAGAGACTAAGAGAGAATACCGGTTTGAAACCTTCTTCCAAACAGCAGAGCACGTCGCCTCCAACACGGACGGTCGCAGACGCCTTCAGGGTGAACCTAAACTCAGTGCCTTCGTTTGGCCCTTACCTTAAGACCTTAAGGGTCTGGTTTAGGGTTTAGGGTTCTGCAAGGCCAAAATATACTTGTTGGGCATGCAGACGGCTAGGGGAAGCTGGCAGTCAGACCGCAGGGGTGGTACACCCGAAAGAGCACTCAGGCAAAAAAGGGGGTTTCAGTTCGACCCAGGCCTTTAGCGACAGGTTCCTGCAGCCAATCTGGGAAAAGAGTGCTTTTCCGGTTCTTGAGACGAGACTGAAAGGGTGTGTACACTAGACCCAGCTTTCTGCTTTTGTGGGGCTGCCGTCATGGATCTAGTATGTACTGCTTGACTCGCTGTTGTTCGTGGTATTCTGTACTTCATACGACAGCCCCGGGAGCCGAACAACAGGGTTCTCACTTCAGGCTGTTTTAGGGGCCCAAATCGTTACTATACCCATACTACTTTTTGCTGGGTGTTCGTTATTATCATTGCATGTAGTAGAATATATACCCCCCAAAACCTTGTTCTAACCATGAAGGCCCCTACAGTATTCGCTGCGTCGTCTTCAGACCTTGCCTGGACACGTCCGAGTGGAAGCGTCGAAGCACCGAACTTCATCCGAACCCCCAAAGCCCTAAAAGCCGAAGTCGAAGCACACCGAAGCACCGGGCTCTCGGAAGGTAGCTTGAGAGCTCCACAAAGGGCCTGAATGATTCGTTGTTATGTAATTGCTACTGGTTGAGGGTTTAGGTGTTCATGCAGTGCCAGGGCCCCTCCAACTCCAGTCCAATCGTTGAGGCCTCTGCGATAGTAGCTCACGGGTGTCTCTCATAAAGGGTGTATGCCTGGGAATGCTACACTGAAGAGCTGGATTTTCCTGGCGGGTCTATGACTAGGTACTGTATATTCAGCCAAAACAGCTCACGGCAGTTATCGCCCCTCTGACCATGACGTCTGCCCCACGATTCTGGCTTGTGGGTGAGGGCCGAAACGCTGAACTACGTGCGCCAGTCCTCTCAGGTCATGGTGACAGCGTCCTCGGCAGCAACTTCCGCGGCAGTGCTGCAGGCCTCGCCAGGTTGTGTCTGGCTGTGGCATTCTGAGTTATTAATGGTCCAAGCTCTGGCGGCACAGCGCTGACCCAACCCACGGAACCTTGCCGATCGTTTTTGTGATTATTGCAGTATGATGATCCTAAAACCCCAAGGGGCTCGGAAAACAAATCCAGCTCCGGAACCGCTCTCGCAAGGCCATAGCTACTATGACTATGCGGGAGGAGGAGTGGTCCACTTGGCGGGCGGTGTCGCCGCCCTGGTCTGTGCCCTAGAGGCTTTGTGAATAGGCACCGGTGATGTGAGAAACATGTTTTGGGGTTAGAGGTTCTTCAGGGTTTAGCATGTTTTGATTGAGTGTGCGCCCCCTTTGTTGCATCCCATTTGCCGTCTAACCAATTCATGCCACTGTGGCGGCAAGGAAGGGTCGTTAATGCTGCTGCTGCTGCTGCTGCTGTCGCCACTGCTGCCTCTCTGCTTTGATCCTGAGCTGCTGTGTGATGCGGAGCTTTCATTGGCATGTTGCATGGGAGGGTGACTGCCAAACGTTGGAGGCCACAACACTGTAAGGTCAACGTACACATGCGATGTTGGGTCTTCCCAGCCGTGCGTTCGATAAGACCTTGACCGAATAATTATAGACTCAGTAGACCTGCAGCCAGCCCCTCCACACCCGGAAACATTTCCACTTGAAGCTGCGGCTGAGGTTGGTAATCTCATGGTTGGGCGACGCATCCTGCGCCCGCCAGTCAAGGACGCCCTGGTCACCGGTTCAGGGCTTTGGGTGGTTAGGTTTTTTGGTATCCCAAGACGAGTCATCAAGTCCGTTTTCAACGGTATCCCAGGATGAGTACCTAGGAATCCTGTTGGTGCAACAGGTGTCTCTCCGAATCAGTGTGTGCTGAACCCGAACACAGCCCAAAGCCCCAAAGCCGCAAAATTCTGGAGCCCAAGACCCGCCTTGCATGTGGGGCATGTGAGAGCGTTGGATCTTGGACTTACAGACTCAAAGTATTGCATCTTTAAGTTTGGGTTATTAGTACTTAGTGTTACTATTCCGAGGATCTGCTGCTTTGCAAACCTTGGGTTTTGGGTGTTGATGGGCCCGGGGCGGGTTGAAGAGCGCGGGTCAGAGCAAACCCCTGCCGGAAGACGCCGGCTCCTGCGCGGCCCCCAAACCAGAAGCCTTGAACCCCCGAAAGCTTCCCAAAGCTCTTGCATTCCGTTGTGCAAGAATTTTCTAGGGCAGAGATTAGAAGGGTTTGTGCCTTCGAAGAATGTAGACTGAAATTGACACAGTTGCAAGGACTGGTCTCCCCTGTCTTTCTGTGCGAATCGCCAGGCGAAGAAATGCACAAGCCCCAATGCCAAACTCCTAAACCGCGCACCCTAAATCCCCGAACCCTGTGCGTACGCGGTACTCGAATCCTCGCCTGGCCTGTCCTAGTTGTGAGTGCTGAAATCCCCGAACCCTCAAACTCTAAGCTCTAAACCCCACATACCCTTGTAGAACGTTTGTGGAACCCTCGAGAAGCACCCAAAACGAATCCGTATAGAACCTTTAGAATCAGCCATAAGCCCAAATTTCCCAAGCCGAGTTCGCACGAGAGGACTTCTTGCCAAAGACCACGGAGTCGGCAGAGAGCAGCAACCCAGGCTCCTGCCCTTTTGGGGCTCAGGGAACCCGGGGCCGAAAATGGGTTTGGGGTTTGGGGCTTAGGGTATAGGGCCTTAGGGTGCTCGCGGCTCTGCAGATGGGTTTTAGAAGGCTTAGTTGCTATAAGAAGAACTGATGAGTAAAAAGTTACATTCTGGGACTCCCACTTGTCACAATCAGACGTCAGAGTCTCGGCGGTTTGTATCGCGCTTACAGTCTTACAGGTGTTTCAGGCACTTGACGGGCTTAGAGGCTTAGGGCCCAGGTTTGACCGGCTCAGGAAACTTGCTTCAACCTTCCAGGGGGGTGGTTATGTGACTACAATCTCAACCCTGGAGGGGGTGTAACCTGCCTATCATGGTGGGGAGGTTTGGCTGTGCATGGGGCTAATACAAAGTTTCTTCTATCGTCCATACACAGAAGCCCCGTTCTGACGACAAGGGCCGCCCCTCATAAAACTCACGCCAAACCCTATAACACTCTTACATCTCATCAAGGCCCATTCTGATATTCAGGCTCCTTTCCTACGGCTTCCGTGGCAGCTTTCCCGTCTCTACTCTACATCAGGGTCCAGGGAGTCGATAAGCCTCAAAACCCTTTCTCCGAGAAGTGGGTGGGAACAACAAGCCCCCAGGGCCCTAAACCCTCAGAAATACTGAAATCTTAACAACCCTCAGTACGCCATAATTCCAAGAATTCCAGACACTCTAGAGCCTATAACAACTTTATGACTCTTTTCGGGCAAGGCCCTTGCAAGACGCTGGAAGGAACCCTTTCAGTTCAACACTTAGTTTCGGGTCCAGGGTTTAGGGAGCATCAAAACCCCGAAACCCGAAGCCTTAAACCGTCATAAACCCCAGAGTAGCCTTCAAAGGCTCGCAAACAAGAACCCTTGCAGGAACCCTAAACCCCAAAACCTTCAAGACTAAACCCCGCCAGCAGTTTTTAAAGTAAAGGACCTCGCAACAGAACCTCCAAAAGGAATCCTTAAAGGAGCCGTTAAAAGGGAACCGTCAGAGGAATCCGAAACGGAGCTTTTTAAGGAACTCTCAAAGGACGATTCTAAACCCTAAACTTCTACGGCCTCGATGTGCATGAGCATGACGCAACATCCTCTCTAAAGCACTCGCACTCAAATCTTCTAGCCCACGTCGGGTAAGATAGCTGACTTGGTTCAGTTAACTGCAGGCTTCGAGTAGCTAAACCAAGTTTGCAAGTTGTAGCTGCATGGCAAGCGCTGTCCGAGCAGCAAGACGCTTCATCTTCCGGCAGTGATGCAGCAGCAGGGGCAGGGGCATGCTTTCCTCACGGCCTTGCGGCCACAGCTTTTGCCTGGTTTCTCAGCGACGCCAAGCAGCTGACCAAGAAGATGGTAGCGGCGAAAACAGCGGCCCGCTCACAAATTGGAGATGAAGTACTTGCTGGAGGGCGATTCTTCGTGGAGGGGCCTCCCCGGAGGAGTAACCACTGACCTGAACAGCGCTGCCTCCGACTTCGAGTTCGTTGTTTGAAGTTAGCCGCGCAGGCGACTGGGACTGCAGACTTCGGTGTCGCAGTTGTCCCTGCAGTTCGGGGGCTACAGTGATTATTCTTGGCTTGCTGCTATCCACATTGACGTTAGCCTCCGTTTTGGGCTTTGTTTGCTTGTGTTACACGTGCCACACCAGATTTTTATAGTGCGAATGCGAGCCGGGAGAGCTCGTCTGGCAGTGCCCGAGTTGCGACGGCATCAACCCTAAGCCTACACCCCAAAAACCCTGTAACCGTCGAGGAGCCCTAAAAGGAAGGAGCTTTGACAACTTCGTCTTTTCAGTCCCCTTCCGCAGGCCCCGAGGAGAAGAACCGCGTAGGGGACAAGGCCCGGGCCCCCAACGTGGTGATGTAAGGGTTTCTAGGTGGGGCTTTGGGCTATCTTACATGTTCCCTTATTCGGCTCGGGAGGATCTTTTTAATCGAATAGTTTTCAACGGCGTTAAAAGAGAGCCCACCTAGGTTGTGTAAGGCTACATGCAGGGTGTAGTGCTCAAACGCATAAGGCTTAGGGCTCAGGATCTTGGCAAGGGTCTTTTAGGGTTCAGGGTGTAGTGCTTGGGGCTGATTTTAAAGCTTTCTGATGCTTTAGTGAGCTCCTTTAACGGGTCTAGTCTAGCTCTAAAGGCTTTTACCAGGACTCAAATTGCGGGTTGTGTTCCGGGGATGCTAGTCACATACATGCTACCTCAATTGAAGTTTTCGGCCTCGTAAATCGACTGAGTGAACTATGAGAGCGCCGTGGAATTTTGGCCTTGGGGTTGGGGGAGGGGTTCGGGATCTTGCTTGGCAATAAGGGTTGTTAGGATACCGGGTTGAAGGTTCGGAGGATATGTTGGGAACATGTCGCATCCCGGTTGTGGCTTCGCACCAGTCCCACTACGTCCTCACTCCCTCTCCCTGAATCCGCCTACCCCAATACCAGTGCTAGCCCCCGGGCATCACATCGCTGCCCTGAAGCCACATATATCCAAGCATAAAGCCCCAAGAGTTCCTGTACCTGCCAGAGCCACTAGCCTCCGGGTTTGGGTCACTGAACCCCTCGACTTGCTCTGATCGATGATGTAAGCAACCTCACCTGGACTCTCACTTGTCGGTGTAATTATGACAATGTTCACCATGGCAAAGCCATATTCTACTTACTACGCCGCCCCTGTATCTCACTGGCACTTGTTCAGGAGCTTCTGACAGAGACATGGCACAGGAGGTTTGACAACCCCGAGGATCGGGAAATCTGCGACTCCGGAGGGTGAAAGGCATAACAATGATTAAGTATACTACTACTGCAGTATATCGTATAGTAGTATAGTATATTCTTTGGTTGCCCTAAAGCCACCAGTTAAGTTTACAGTTACCCAATGCGAGGACTTTCTCCCCACTGGGTCTCTCCGTTTTGTCATGTCTGGTCTATGTGGCATATAAGTTCCAAGATGTTGTCTTCTCGGGTTTGGCATCGGGTTGTTGATCCAGGGAATTGTATCCCTAGACGCACGCCGATCAGCATCTGAGACTTTTTGCGTTCAAATCCCCAGCTTGTCAGTGGCTTGTTTTGTCGCGGTGCACTGAATGGGGAACTTGTTTAACATGCCGTAGGTGCTATGACTCAACAGCAACACCAGGGAGCACAACAGCAGGTATGAGGTAGCCGGTCCTTGCAGAATCCGCGTTGCCGCGTGTCAGAATCAGTAGCCCCGGCACCATGGCCTCGAGCAGGCGTTTAAGTCACTTTTCGGCACTAAGCGCGGACACAGTTGCGCAAAAACAAGAAAACTGCCGTGTACAGACTGGCCGTCGGCATCCCGGGTCAGTTTAGCACAGGGGCACGTGACTTGCACTCCGCAGGGTGTCATCCGATGTATCAAACCGCTGGTCGCGACAACAGAGCGAACTCGAATCCTGGATCTTGGTCCTGGATTCAGGAAAACCCGAATCAGCCTTGAGATTTACCATAGAGTTTTGGTGTAGATATGGGTAGATCATAGTGTAACTAGATCAGGGGCTAAGAGGGCATGCTATGAACAATTCTTCCGGCCCTTGAGCAACTAGCATGTTGTGCTTGAGTTTGCATGGGGTAGACCAGAGCCCGATAAAGGCCCGACCTGATCCCCTTGTGAGCTTCAGAAGATTTAGCACAAAAAGATCAGACATGGAAAACACCAAGCTTTGAGCATCGAAACCATAAGATCCAACCGGCAGCATGCAGATGCGTCCAGAAGCTGCTTGGAGGATGATGAGAAGGAGTTCCGCGCGAACAGCTACCTCCAGGCTGTTGCAAAGCGCTTCACTGATGCAGTAGCAATGTTTGAGATTCAACAGACACAGGACCCCACAATAAGGAACCCTGACGCGAGCGGCATCCTTGCCAGAAGGACTGTCTCTGCCGCAAGCACCGAAACAACACAAAACCTTTACCCGATATCATAAGCCCAGAACCGTAAACCCTACACGTCAGACAGCAGATCTCGAAGGGAGTACTCCTCCGGGGCCCAAAGTCTTATGCAAAAAACAAAAACAGCAGCAGAATGAAAAGATTGAACATAAGCACCACAGCCATTCTCATGTGTGCAATCTGGTGTATATTGCAGCTTGCACGGGTCTGCACTTTACTTTGCAAATCGAGAATACTGCGACGGTCAAACTCAAGTTGGTCGGGGTCCCCGACCTGGCAGATGACTATACAAAAGGGCCTTAATAATTAGAATAGGGTTTGGGGGGTATATTATGCTATAGTTAACATAAGGAACCCTCAAAACCTATTCTACTCATTAAGGCCCTTACATTCTGGCGCTGTTCCGAAAACCCGAACCCCAAGCTTCCAGCGTGGCCCTTTCTGCATCTCTTACCTTCGTGAGTGTAAGGCCCTTTTCCAAGCGTGTCATGGGTAAATGTTGACATCTCTCCCTCGACCTTAAGCCGTCTATCAGGAGTATTGTACTTCAGAGCTCCTTCTTATGACGAGGCTATAAGTTACTACAACGCACCCTGAAACCCTGTTCTAAGTCTTACATAAGGCCCCTACGTTGCCAGGCCAGCGCCCAATAATCTGAAGCCCTACAGCTCTTAACCGTCTTAACCCTGATGAGGACCCTATAAACCCTAACAAAAGTTTTGTGCCTCTATAGTTTACCCCCGAAGCCTACAACCCCAACGGCCTAGCATATAAGCATATATAAGCAACCCTAAACCCTAAGCCCTAAACCCTAAACCCTACGTCCTAGCGGGAAAAAAAAAGCCCCTAAGCCGACACAGATTATGGGCATCTTCAACTTGTGGGTTGGTTGCTACGGATTCAATGCGTGCCCGAGTTTGCATCTGGCCGGTTTGCGGTTTTTTTGGGATGGTTTTGGGGTGGTTTTGAGTTTTGGGCTATTTAGGGTTTGAGGAGTTCATGGTTTTAAGTTTTGAGACTTCTGGCGGAGGGCTTTAGGGTTTTGTAGGCCAACAAAGCTTCTGCGCATGAAGATAGCGTGGGGGATCAGAGTTTTAAATTGGGTAGCTACTATAATAATACTAGAACTAGCAGGAAATGTTTGTACGAGCCCCAGTACTTCATGGCAGGAGTAATGCTTAGTCAGTAATTATCGGTAGCACTACTAGTAGGGGTCGGCGTAATCCGGGATCTAATTGGAATTTGGCAGGGTTTAGGAAGCAGGAAAGGAAGGAGCGATGTAAGGCATCTTTCGACAGAATCCAAAGCACATAGAACAGCGTCACCCAAAAATGGCCCGGGCTTGAACTAGCCCCGGCCAAAACGCATGAAAGAGTGTCGGCTGATTGAAGACTTAGTGCGACATCTGCCACGATTCAGAGATGGATCCTCAAAGCTTTGCAGCCCAAGCCTGCCAAGCCTTCATCTTCTTCGCCGAACCTGTAGGTGTGGGTTTGCCTTCAGGGTTTAGGGTTTAGGGATTGACTGTCTGCAAGGCAATCATGTTAAGGATGACTTCTACAAGGGCAATCAGACTAAGGATGACCTTTACAAGGAAATCATGCTAGGGGATGACTTTACAAGGTAAGCATATTAGGGATGGCAGTTGTTTTAAGGTTGAGGGTGTAGAAATCCCAGGTGCACGGCCTTCCTTCGCAACGACAGCTCCAGTCAGCAGCTGAGATATGTAAGGAAAGGGGCCCGAAGCAGAGAGACCTTCTGTTAACACATAAAAGAACCCTAAGGCCAATTAGGGACCACTATTATTCCTAAGGGCTCGGGCCTATATCGATGCTGCAAGCTTTTTTTCCAAACCCTCTTCTAATTTTTAAGGCCCTTTGTACGCTCGGAGTAAAAGGCGCATTGTTATGGGATTGTATATGTGGTTCGGTTTTGGTTTCAAGGTCGAGGGGTTAGGAGACTCGAGCCTCAAGGTCTTAGGAGTCCGCTTCGTCTTTCAAGACAACTCAGAGGACAGGTGTCGGGCCGGAAATGATGTAGATGATCCGACAGGTTTAAACGTTACAAGGTCTAGTTAGCGTACTTGAATGAGTTGGCTGTTTCTCTGCCCCTTCTGGCACAGCAGAGAGCTCCGCATTGAAAGACAGGATTTCTAGGACACAGTTGTTGATGCACTGGGGAGCCCAACACATCGTTGATTGTGTATGTGTTTGGGATTGTTTAGGTTGCTGGATATAGGTTTGCTACACCCAATCACTTGTGAGCATTAGGATTTTGGTAAGGAGTGATCGAAGCCTAAATCACCCTCTAGTCTAAACCTTATATTCGTCTTATATTGAAGACCTGCCCCTTTTCCGACAAAAGGCCAAAACCTTTGCTGAGGGTTCAGAGTCATCAAATCAAATTACAGAATCTGCTGTAAAACTTTCTAGACACGAGAAATTTTGGGCTCCCTGGCCCACGGGTCCAAGTACCCATGATGGTCATTACACCCTCCCGGCCCACTATCTTACAAAAACTCGTCTCCTGGAACCAAGGTACAGAATTATAGGGTCACGTGGACCCTGAAGCCAAAACCCCTCAAAGGAAGCCTTCACAGCCTGCATAAAACCGCCCTAAAGCCCTGTATAGCAACCTGCCCATCAGAACCTTTGGGGTTAAAGTTTAAGGGGTAATCCGCAGAGCAGGCTTCGCGGATGCATCCTTGGCCGCCTGGAACACGACGCTCGCAGCGAGCGCCGGGGCACTGGGCGCCTTCCTCCATCAGCAGCTTGGAGGGCGGTTTAGCGTTCAAGGGTCGTTTGAGACTGTCATAAGTCAAGTATCCAAGGTTGCAGGGTTCAGGGTCTCAGGTTTTAGGATTTAAGGTGCTTCAGGTTTGGAGTTACAGTATCAGCAACCCATTGCATATGACAAGTGCAAAGGGTGGAGGAATAGACGGGGATTCGCATTGCAACACTTTCATGCTCGCATTCGGCGCCGCCCCCTCAAACTGTCGATTGCTTTGTCCTGGTTCCCCCTCCAGCAAGAAATCAGGGGTTTAGCAAACCCTTAACGTAAAGCCTCAACATACACCTGAGCGCTAGCACTACTGCATTTCCATCTTGACTGTAAGTCTTGTATCAAGTCTTGTATGGCAGAGCTTCTGAAATCTTCGAACATAGGCTGTCCCTAAACCCTCAACTAAACCGTTGCTCTTGTTACTTCGCTAGCTCAGCGTACGTAGACCATCACAGATCATCTTTGCCATTGTTGTCATCACTGAAATTCTATTAGCGCTCTTTATCCCTTTTTCGCACCCCCACCCCAAGAAAATCTTCATCCTGCTATGGGCATCATGCAGGTGGCAAACCCACTTGCATGTCATGATCGCACCTGTTTTGCCATGCCAGGCCAAACGAAGTAATGACTCACAGAAGCAGTTCTGAAATCCTAAACCCGAAATCCAAAAACTGGACATATTCTCGGAAGTTGAACAGGAAGCAGGCGATTGTCCGACGTGTTGCATCAGCCCAGGTCCGCACAGGCCCCTATACGATTATGCCATACGGGTAGTTCTCTAAGTTCGGTCCCTTTCAAGGGTCCTTTTATAAGGGTGCAAATTTCGGGGACCTAAACGGAGACCCTAACTTAGAGAACTATATGCACTTTCCGAGTCCCTACACCCTATACCCTATAGTGCAGGACCATGTGCAGGCGGAAGTGCCTGCCCTGAATTTAGCGACTGATGGACCCAAAGTTTGCAACTGCTACTTCCCGGGATTGGGATCTCTTGTTCCAAATATATTACAACCTGAATGTTATCATGTACACCCATGGTCTTGCTGAAGCTTCTGCTCTTCTTTTTGGGGCTTAAGAGGGTTATAGAAGGAAACTAATGACCTCAGCAACCGGCAGCATGTTCCCAGGCTTGCCACCCCCCGAGATATTGTAGCATAGCCAGAGCAAAGGGCCCTAAACCCTAAACCCTAAAGTGCTTCGTCGAAACAGTCACCTCGCCAGGCTTGTTGTGAGTGTTGAAACCCTTTGCAGGTCCATTTGTTCCTTCGTCAAGGCAGTGTAAGCCCAGGAACGAAACCGCCACAGTATATTATCCGCGAGCCACAGATGTGCTGGTTTAGGGTTTGTGATGCACGACCCCTAAACCCTAAACCCTACAAGGTCAAACTTAAACTTCAGCATCAGCATCCCCAAGCCCCCACGCATCAACTTGGCCCAGGCATCTGTTTCAGGAGCGCATGGACATCGGCTTCATCTGCAATGGGGCTCCTCAGTTTATGACCTTGCCACCCAGTTGGTTGTCTCATTTCGAGCTCTTACTCCCACACCCCAAACACTTGCCCTAAACCCCTGAACCCTAAACCCGCCTCACCGTCCGACACCCTGAACCCTGGAAAAGCTTCACAGCCCAAGCACTTCATCATCCGGGCTGTGAAACTACTTGAATCTCATTTGCCGAACCACCCCCCCCCCCCCACGCCTCCGCTTTTTCATCGTGCATTCTTGTTCGTTCGAGCTGGGGGGGTATTACTTCTTCTGATTGTTATGATTACTCTTGTGATTATTTTAAGTAGTTCGGGCTCTCGTGCGTTGCCTGGCGCTGCTGGGTTTTGAACTTTAACCCTAACTGTCTTGTGGGGCAAGCTGGGCAATAAGGGCAGCAGTCGAGTCCCTTGTGAAAAAGGCTTTAGGGTTTAATTGGTGTTTCGGGTTTGGAAGTGGGGTTTAAGAAATTTCAGCACCACGGGCAGGGTTGGCCAATTCTTAAGACTAAGACCCTCGATGGTAGGGGGCTTCGGAAACCCTTAACTCTGGATGACAAAGGCCACAGCAAACCTTTGTATGAAGATCAGAACCAATACTAACATAAAAGGGCCCCTCTACACTTATGTTATTGTAGACCTAAACCCCCATTCCAATTAATTCGTTGAAGCTCCTGTATTGGACCCTAAGAACTCAAGCTAAGAACTCGAGCTTGAAACCTTCACAGCTGATCTCTAGCTCCGAGACCCCTAAACTCGGAACTCTAGGCTCTATACCCTGGGGCTCCTCGGCCTGAACTCGAGTCCCTAAGCCCTACACTGCTACAGGGCTTTAGGGTTTAGGATGCCGCGAGTGCGATGTGCGGCGAAAGGACTTGGCCGGGCGAGCTCCAATCAAGCCTGTGTAGAAAGGGTTAAACCCTACAGCCTAAACTCTAAACCCTGAACCCTAAACCCTGAAGCCTTGAGTCAATGAGGTCTTATCTGGTCTGGTTGCCAGCACTGCATGCTGCACCTCGCTTGAGCAGTTTTAATGGGTGTTGGGCTGAGGGGTCGAGGGTCGAAATACCAAGGGTTTCAGGGTTTGTAGTCCGGTGTAGTTGGAAGAAGTATAGGAACATGGACAATACGCATGTTATAGTTCTCTTAGCATTTCTGAGCTTGCTGCTGCAGGAAACGATGGAAACCTCAACCAGTCAAAAGCGCATGAACTCGTGCGAAACATGCACTTATCCCTTAGGCTGGCTGCTTTTATGATAAAGCTTTGTGTTTCCCCTTGGGTGCAGTCTGAGTTTCATGAAAAATCAGATTGAGTGTGGGGTTTGGAGGAGTGGAGGAAGCGACATGCATCTATATCCGAGAGTCCGTACCAACATATCCAACAGCACACGCGCGGCACATGGTTTAGTCGAGCCGGAACTTATGAGGCAGCACTTGCCAGTCCAATAGTTTGTTTTAGCTCCATGAAACAGTTACGCCAAATATAACTCAACTTTCGCAACTCTGCAATGCTAGTGATGCACAAGTAGGCCTATCTGGCCATGCCTCATCATCAGGCCAACAGGTGTTCGTACCTGGAATATCCAACTGGCAGTGTCGACACGACAGGTCAGTAGTATCACTCGGGGCGTTGTGATAGTATACAACTGAGGTTCGGTAACATACGCAGCCCGTCGAAGGCAGGTTAGCTAGTAGCGCAGGATACTTCAGAAGAATGGATCAGCAAAGTCATGGCACGCCTGCTACCGGGGCCGGAAGCAATGAGGTGAAGCGGTATGTATGTATATGTGTGTGTGTAGTCTTAATGTTTCATTTAGAGATTTACTTATAATATATGTAGATATACATAGATACACATAGAGGTGTCATTGTCTCGTCAAGGCATTTCAAGGCATTAACCACAACCCCCATTCGAGGTGATGCGCTCTTCACCATCCTGGCTACGGTAATCGGCTTCCTCGCCGGATTTGTCGTGTACCCTGCAGGTCGAGCTCATGGTACGTTTAGACGCGGCGTGCGCGATCCGAATTGGTTGTTCGGGCGGCTAAGGCCTAAGCTCTAAGCCCTATAAACCTGAAGCCTGAAACATTAAACCCTGAGGAATGAGCCTGTTGAAAGAAGCTATGCAATCGAAACACGGCAGTGTGTCGGTTGACTTTGAGTGTGCGCATGTGTGTTTGTATGTGATATATACATATATGTACATATATGTATGTATCTTTATGTGTGTGTATATATATATGTATATGTATGTAGACGTGTACATGTAAAATTGTAACTATGTAAATGTATGTACATATCCACACATGTGTGCGCATATACACATATACACACATGCACATGTATGTAGATAGATAGATGTACACGCACATGTATCCATATATATATATACATGTATATAGGTAGATAGGCACACATCTATCTATACATATATATATATACACAGACATATACATATATACATATATACATATACGTACATATACGTACATATACGTACATACATACATACATACATACATACATGCATACATATATACATATACATGCATGCATATATACATAGACATAGACATAGACATAAACATAGACATAGACATAGACATAGACATAGACATAGACATATACATATACATATACATACATATACATATACATATGTATATTTATACACACACATATATATATATATACGCACACACACACACATATATATATATATATATATCTGTGTACATGTGAGTGCGTTGCTGCGGGCGTGTGTGTGTGTGTGGTCTGCGTATCTATTTGTCCGTCCTTCCATCTGCTTGGTTGCTCTTTATGGTTTCTGAGAGGCAGCTATCTGTTGCGCAGACTGCGGGTCGACGATCCAGCTGAAGCTTGGCACAAACGACTTCTGATTTGACATTGTGTGCGTTTGAATTGCTGCCTGCATCTGCTAGACTCTAGCTACTAGACTCGACCATCCACTCCAACCCCTAAAGTCTTCTGAGCTCACTTACCCTGAGCTACTTTTGTCTGAACGTGACTGCCCACGACAGCAAGCAACAAGAAGATGAGGAGGAGCAGGATTCAAGTGGTCAGTTTTGACTGGTCATTATACTCACACTCAGAGCAAGGTTTCGTCGCAGCTGTAGAAAATCAGCAGGCTTTGGATTTGGAGCTTCTGCCTGAGAAGGACGCCATAGCCGTGCATGGAGGAGGCGGTCTCTTCAGCGTCACCGTCGCCGCCTTCAGCTGCTTGCATTTGTTTAGACTCGTTGGCAGGGGTAGTGCCGACAGTTGCTGCTACAAGCCGTATAGATACTTTGAAGGAAAGTGTGAGTAATCATCTCTCATGAGACCTTGGGAGCGGAGCTGAAGTTATGGAAGAACAGCGTAAAGACTTTGCGACCCCTCATGCAGCAATCGTCTGGTTGACTGATCTTGCAAGCATCTCGCTTTGCATTGCCAGCCTTGCCCATCAGGGGCTTGATATGCCTGTATTCCGCATGAGCTAACTTTCAATTCCTAGTAGCTCGAGGCCAACTTTCAAATGCGTCTATTCGAACTAACCAATCGCAAGAACTGAGCAACGATGTCACTGCTTGTTCACTTCATGGCTACCCTGTCGACAAAGGTATTGAACCACCTGCACCTTGTGAACCCTAGCCTAGATCCTAGTCTAAGGCACAAACTGCAGTCTCAGGTCATCCCGACTGCATCACACACGCAGCGCACGCGCTGTGCCATTCGGGCCATCACTGGGGCGGCTCGGCAAGTTGTTGCTTAGGTCTCTTCGGGCAGCGGCGTGGCATAGCGGGAAAGGCTTCATCTCGCTGCCACCAGAAACAACAACACAGTCATGGTATACCCCACCCCCAACATCATGGTATGGGAAGGAATAGGAATCACAATGCTCGTCGCACTGCAAGCAGGCGTCCCCAGCTAGACTCTGTGGAAACACACAACGGAGTCTGACTAAGCCATTTCAATTGCCAACGCTTCTTTCCAGCACACAAGCCTTGAAGCCTTCTATCCAATTTCGTGTAGCTTCAGTGGGCCAACCCAACGCTTGAGACAAACGCTACAAGCCCCGGGCCCAAATGTGGGAAACCCCACACTGGCCCGACACCCCCAAAGAGCCTAAATTTGATGCCTGCAACATGGAAGCCTTCACACCTTCAATCCCTGTCCTATTACAACCCAACCAGCAAAGCCCAAGACCCTCATCCAACTCCTTGTCCTAAACATTGAAAGCCTCAAGCAGTGAACATTGCACATGATGTCTACCTTTACTACATTCGGGAGTTTTGTCGCCTTATTCTAGCACAGCCGCTACATTCAGCCTTCAAGCATCTGACATCAGGCTGGCAGCTTCTAGCTCAACTTCGTGGTGCTGCCGTCATCATCGCCTGGACCACCGCCGCCACCAGACTCAGTGTAGGGTTTAGGGTGTAGGATGAAAACACAAGTACAACAGCCCGTTGGTTTGTTCATGGAGTCACGTCGTCTAGTACTGCTCAAGTCTGTTAAATCCAGAATCGTCAAGGATGATTGTTCTGGGTCTTGACGGCACACTCTACAGTAGCAGAAAACCGCACCTGATATACCCCTCTCCGAATGTCGGTGTTGAGGGTTTCGGTTTGGTTGCGTTGGGATGGTGGGTTTTCGGGTTGGACACGTCTTAAAGTAGGCCAAGGGCCGAACAAGTTGTCTGGGTTTGAGGGTCTAGGGTTCACCTACAGTCTCCATTGTCGTTCCTTGGCGGGGGTACATTGCAGGATCTTAAATCCTGAGTATATAACTGGTTAAACCAAAAAAGGGAAGTACACATATGTAGGTATGCACCTGTAGAGACCGATGCTTGCACCTGGAAGGTACAGCGGAGCCTCTGCAAAGGTAAGCAGGATGTCGGGCTTGGAGGGAAAGAGAGTTTCAAAATCTGGCATAAAGTAGAAGTCTTGAAGGACAAAGCACAGCCACATGAGTGATGTTTCTGTTGCCGATTAAGCCCTGTTGACCTCCAGCCCTTACCTAGTTCCCCGACGCCGGGAGACGGTTGATTGAAAATAGCGCAGCAGGCGCAAACCTGGTGTTTGCTTAAGTTGCTCCGACCGCCGGCAAAGTGGGTGAGTGCGACACCATTGACGGCTAGAGCGGCTACAGCCTCCAGACAGTTGGACGTCTCGAAAACATAAGTCTGCCTCGTGTAAACTCGATTTTTGAACCATGGGTAAGAAAATCTCCTCGTAGGCTCCTGTGCTGATTCCCAATGATTCGAGCATCTCGTTTGTGAAGTCAGGTGGTAATGCCGGTGTGGGCGCTCTTTTTGCTGTCTGAGACGATTCGGTCGCTTGAGCTGGAAGAGTTGGTGGCCTTATACGAGTGGCTCAGCTAACATAGGGCCGGTGAGGTTTGATACATTCGTGTTATACGATGACACTGGCATTAATATCACCTGATAGTCCGAAATCGTCTTCTGATTATTCAGGCGCCTACGAAAGGTTGCCGGTGAAGCAGCTCTTCGTTCGGATGACCGGGCTTTCTGCTTCAGGTTTGGGCATGCCCTGAACTACCAAACCTTATTTTGTAGGGTCCTTCTAAATTCTCCAGCTAGCTTAAGGTAGGGTGTAGGGATATAGTCTTTCTACTGAAGGTCTTCGGAATTAGCGTGCAGATTGGAGTTTTGGAGTCTTTGAGCTGCTTGTCGCTGGCAGAGGGAAATAGTGCAACCCTGGGTTTTTGTTTCGTTTCCCTTAGATGGTCTTACAGAGACATCTGGTCGCACTTGCATAGACTTGGTGGGGTGCTGGAACTGCAACCCAGCTAAACCCTCAACCCAAAACACAACTGATTGAACCCCTTGCAAAACTGTAGCAATAGCAATAATAATGAACAAGTTTGACAATAACTAACAACAATACCACTGAAATTTTGATGTGTTGAACGCCCGGCTTGTCAGGGCTGCACCCGCTTCGGGGAAATCAAAGTGAAGCCGCGAAGACCCCAGAGGCAGCCGAAAACTGCGCCCGAAAACTACGAAGTGCTAGGGCTGCTAGGTGTGAGCCCTATAATCCTCTAAAGGCTGAAACCCCGAACCCTAAACCCTAAGAGTGTTAGCGCAGCAAACTCAAACGGTCCGAAGCCATTTTTGCCTGTGTGCGAGTGTGCGAGTCGAAACCCCAGAATTTTGCGACGGTGACCCCAGAATCCCAGAGTCTCATCCCTAAAAACATTCCAGACCCCCCTATAAAGCCGTCTAAACCCAGCCACTTCCTAAACAACATCATTGGACATCTCCTAAACGCTCTCTAAGATCCTTGCAGCATTCCCCAAAATGTTCTAAAGCTCTCGTAGAACCTCACACCGGAAGAAACTTTTCCTGCAGGCGCCTTTGTGACAGCGAGCTTGGCGTGGTCTCCAAGCAGGTGCGGGGGCTTTCGGGGAGGCGGCCTAGGTATTGTTTTTTCTTTATATTATGAATCCTGAAAGCGGTAGGGTGTTTGAGGCTAGGATATGTTTTAAGGAATGCTGCTTTTTGGGATGATATAGGGTGGGAGTTTAGCATTTAGGGCGTTGCAAGTCTCTGCGTTCAGAGTGGTTCCGGAGTCCTAAACTTGGAAGCCCATGCCCTCCAGGGTTTAGGGCTTTTGGGTTTTTGGGTTTCGGCTTTTGGGTTTCGGCTTTTGGGTTTATACAACTGCTTAAACGCTTGAGACCAACCTTAAAAGCCCGGAGGAGCCGGCCTTGCAGTCGGCGGCGCAGAGATCTTGGGTCGTTCGGCGACTGCTCCGCCTCTCGGAACTCTTTCAAAAGCCGGGCTCTCTTGTAAGGGTGTAAGGGTTTCCCTTTCATATCTATATAAATAAATAACTGTATATATCACCATATCCCGTTTAAGGGTTCCTGTAGTGCTTTCAGTTCAAGGGTGCCAATCCAGTGTAGAAGGGGGCTCGGGTTTTGGATTTAGGTTTATGTTTTGAGAAGCTGTTGATTGATTTTGTTGGAGGGGCACGGCGGTGTTGGGGCTTAGAGCTTCACCTATCGGACCTATCGACTTCCAGACACCGTCCACTCTGCAGGCCGGGAGAGAACGGAGTATTGGGAGGGTTCGAGTCTTAATCTCTCGAGTCTAGAGTCTAGAACCCCAAACCCCTAAACCCTAAACCCCGAAACCCTAAACCCTAAACCCCTAAACCCTAAACTAGAGCCTAAATGTGCTAAGGCCACAGCAGTTTGGACCTCCACGACTTGCGTGAGGATGTGCTTGATGCGATCCACGACACAAAGACGGTCCTGCGAGGGAGGGTCTGGCTATGAACCATGCAAGGAGGTTGCTGTAATTGTGGTCACTCTTTACAAGTGATTACCAGTCTTTGAGATCAGCTCACCTGTGTGTGTGTGCTGTGTAACACGAGTCGAGGACGTTGTTAGCCCCCAGCCGAGTTCCGGGCCGTCAGCATGGGGTAGAGAAGGTCTGTGGGTAAGCTTTGTCCAGGTCTGAGATGCGTGGTACAGGCGTGGGACAGCTTACGTTCTTCGAAGAGCCTGGTGTCCAGTGGGCATAAGCCTCGTAGAACAAACACCGAACACCTTAAGCCCCAACAACAAACCAATTGCACCAAAACCCTAAAACTCTCTTAAGCTCTAAAGCCCTGAATCTCCAGAACCCTAAAGCCTAGCTCTCTAGGGCCATGAAGCGCTGCAGTCCTGCAACGCTTACAGTAAACTCTACAACACGCAACCCCTAAGCGCTCAAGCACAGTTCGTCTAGGAGCTTGGAGAATCAGCCCCCCCCCCCGTCAGAGCCCCGAGACCTAGTTGTCGCAGAGCCCCTATAAATTCTACACTTTGGTTTAGGGCTTAGGGTTTGGCTGTTTACAGTGCAATTACGCGTAGTTGCGAAGGGACTCTTTGAGTTCTGTCACTTGGGTCTTCACCTGTAAAGGAGCAGAAACGACGACTGCAGTTCTGGGACAGCAGCCCGCCCGCCGTTTCCCGATTTATCCGAATTCTGCACAATGAACCGGCGCCCTGCCTACAGACCTGCAGTCTCCGTTGTAGCTCCCAACGACAATGCACGCCATAGGTAAAGCCTAAACCCCGAAACCCCTCAACCCCCAGACCACTCACTCCCTAAACCGCTCAAAACCGGGGAGGAGGGACCCAAAACCCTATAACACCCTACGAAGAACCCTGAAAGAACCCTGCACAAGGAACCTGAAGAAGCCGTCGAGCCCTGTCATTCTGCGCTCCCGACAAAAGCCACTCGAAATCCCCCCTTGGAAGAGGCTTTGGAGATGGAAAGTCGAGTTGTGCGGCTCTTCGTGGGCGACCTGCCTGGGGATGTCTTGCTTCAGGATTCCTTTACACGTTCCATCTTCGGGTCGTAGAGTTGATAGGGTTTAAGTGTTTTGGGCCCAAGCTTCCAAGCAACACGCTGTCGCGGGAGGTTCAACTTGATTCGGCTCGTTTTTGAAGCTTGGGTGTTCGCTAATTTGGTCTTGTGGGCATGTAGTTGTCGGGTGCCCAACGACTCCAATGGTATCCATTTGTGGAGGTTCCCATACTGAAGCTCCCATTCACCAGTGTTGGATAGCTCTTCCTGCTAAGCGGGATTTGTTTGGGTTACATCGGGCCCGTCTAAAATCGAGAACCTCTGTATATACCTACCCCCTAGAACGCGCACAGATACCCTAAAACCCCCCCAAGCCCTGGCTACGGCTCAAGAGTACAGCTGTTCAAGACTGGAGCACCATGTTAGACCCCGCCCGCCAGGCATGCTGCATGTTCTGATTCCATCCGGGGAAAAACTGGCCGCCATCCCCTCACCAGACCTAAGCACCGTGCGAAATTTGAAGCATGACTTGCAGAAGATCTGCGGTGTTCCACATTTCCGGCAGAAGATCCTGCACGAAGGCAAGGCTTTGGAGGAGGATGTGCACCTCGATGCTTCAATGGAGAGCGTGCTTCTGGTCTTAGCCGCCTTCTGCGATGCTTCGGAAGAGGAGATCAAGGAGCTCGTTTTATCCCCTTGCCAAGGCTCTGTCGACAAAGTGGAGAAAATATTGCGGCGGTCCATAGACCCTAATGCAGCGACTTCCGATGGCAAGACAGCTCTGATGTTGGCATCTCAAGATGGCTATCCAGAAATCGCGCAGTTGCTACTGGAAGCTCGGGCTGACATGGACGCGGCCGACCATGACGGCACCACAGCCCTGGTTGCTGCGTGTCGGGACGGAGAGGAGGACATGATCTGCTGGTTCCTGGGTGCCAGAGCAGATGTAAACAAGGCCGACGGCAATGACTGCACTCCACTGGTCACTGCCTTACAAGAAGGACAGCTGGACATTGCACGGCTGCTGGTGCAGGCTGGCGCTGGTACCGGTCCAGGTCCTCAGGGAAACGACTTGCTCTACACTGAATGCCAATGCTCCGAGGCCAGCCTAGAGACTGTCCGATTGCTTTTGGAGGCGAGGGTTGATGCGAATACTGAAACTGAGGACGGCATGACAGCTCTTGCAGTTGCATCTGAGAAAGGTCATCAGGAGATCGTGGAGATGTTGTTGGCTTCGAAGGCGGACGCAAACCAAACTGATGTCTATGGCCTCACCGCCCTCGCTATGCCAGCCCACGACCCACCAAGCGCACGTGGAAGTTGTGCACCCGCTGCTGCGGGCTGACGCTGACCCTCATCACGGGAGCAGGGACCTTTCGAAAAAGATGACGACATGGCTAATCTGCTGATAAGTCGAGAGTATCGCCGCCAGAATGTAGTGGTAGCCACGCTCAGTCATCGTATCACCACATCACTGAGCCCTTGCTGAAGATCTTCCACGCGACACTCTGTCGGATTTGGTTGAGGCAGGCCTAAGTTCCACTGGGGACATAAGTGCTTCTTTGATTTCAATGCATGCGTCATTTAAGCTTTAGTTACGCATCTCGGCGTTTGCTTTTCCGACTGCGAAGCAAGCAAAGCCTTGTATCTGAAATGTAGGCCTCTTGTGTCTTCAGTATGGTTTATCTTCGGGAATTTGTGGGGCTGAAGTAGGGCTCCTTAACCTTATCATGTTGGCGGATAGTACCCACCAACTTCATCCAAGTGGCTCTAGCCACGACAGGCACAGCACGCGACGCCCTGGCCATGACTTTATGGAGTTTCTGGGGTTTTCCTTGAACAACCTAGACCCAAACCCGAGTCGGGCCTTGAGGTATCGCCAAAGTGCTGCGGCGGTGTCGCGGCAGCCCTTGTTGTGTTCATGAGCCCGTGATCCCAATGTTTTGTCCGGCAGCGAAGGAGGGTTCTTGCAAGGATTTTTTCAGGGGCTCCAAAAGGAGAGCTATGGGTGGGGCTACAGGGGTTCTCGCTTCTTACAGGGGTTCCCTCAAATGCTGCAAAAAGTGAGGTATAGGGGGCTACAGGGGTTTAGGGCTCTTGCACAAGATCCTTGAAGGTTCCGTCAGGTTTCTGGCTCTAGAGGCTTTAGGCTGTTGCCTTCTGGTTTTTGCGCCGGGTTCAGGGTTTATAGGGCTTAGGGTGTTCACCTCAGCTGTGCAGCTGCTGTTCAAGCTTCGACCAGCGTCTGCCCAGGGTCGGTAAGGGCCTCCATTCGTGACAGTTTCTTGTGGAAACGGCCTTGGGAGGCGAGTAGTACCCCGAAGCACGAAATCGCTAAGCCCTGAATCCCTATAACTCATCAAAAGCCGCAAGGCAAGGTTTCCGAAGAAACGCCAAGCAGCAGCTCCCCTATGACCCAACAAGCCCAAAGGTTTAACCGCAAATTATCGAGCCGGAAATCCTTGGCAAACATCCGGAAATCCCCAAAAGCCCCTAAAACCAACTTCTAGGACCCTAAGTTGCTAAGTCAAAATTTAGCACTAAGCCCCCTAGACCACATAAAGCCGTACATACACCCTAAACCCTATAGCCCTACAAATCCTAACCCATAAACCCTGTAAGCCGCAATCCGTTTAGAATCCTCTAAACCCATTTAACCTTTCACTCACTCAGGTGTCGCTTGATTCGCGACGCCTGCCGCCCCTCCGGCCGGTACCAAAACCTACTTTCGTTTGTTATAGTAAGGACCTATGAGAAAGTAGGTTATGATAGTTTTCGGTGTAAACCATGTCAAACCCTGAACCCGAAACTCACAAACTTCAGGAAGTTGGGGCTTAAGGCTTCTAGGGTTCTGGGATTTCCATGGGGGGTTTGTGGCTTTTGGGCTCTCGTTTCTTGTGGGTCCCCGGAGTGCAGTGAGCATCCCAAGCTCCAAGCGCGAAAACATGCGAAGCCATGAAGGATCCTGGTAGAACCCTTTTTGTTTAAAGCCTTCATGGGGCCCTTTTTTGTGGAAATCTAGGAGTAAATCCGACAATGTACAACCATCTAAACAACACGGAGAGCCCTCATAGAACCCCGCATTTTGGGCCCCACATGTTGGCCCTGAGCCGTCGAAGGCTTGCGATTGCGCATCCCTCCCTTTGCCGAGCTCGTTGGCCTGGGAGCTCTGTCGAAGGAGGGCAACACAGCTCCTGGGCTACGGCTTTCATCGAAATAAGCTTTTGGTACTGAAGATTCTATGGGGTTTGGGACTTTTGGATTCGTGACTTAGAGCCACATAGAATCTACAGTGAACGGCAGCAGGTTGGAACTATGGGGCGAGGATGGGGAATCGTATGCGTAGGCTTAGCCGAGCCATATGCGGATCATGCTGACCCATCGTTCTGGCATAAGCCCTACACTTGAGCAAAGTCGTTCTGTGGCTCAGGTCGCGGACGCCAGCCGAGGTGTTTTCTTGGCTGCACCTATTTGCCTTTGGTTTTGGGGTTTGGGGAACAAATGATCGTTTGCAAACAGCATGCTGAGTATGATACAGCCATCGCTGATCCTGATGACGTGTTTAGTCAATTTAGGCTATTTAATGACTCGGGAGTTTACGAGACTCGACCCGGGGGCTTTTCAGCGCACGCGTTTCTATGATTGCTGTGCATACGACCGCCTTTACAGAATGTGCGGCCGCCGTTTGCAGAAAAATATCGAGTGGTATCCGTCATACCCATCAGGCATCTTAAGTAACTGTAGCTTGTAGGGTCAGATGCCCCAAGGTTCTGCATTCGGGATTCCAGGGACATCTTTACCCTTGGCCTTCCTGCTCGGCTTCCGGTATGGGTGCCGAAGGGCAGATTTCAACCCTGGCTTTGGTCGGAAAATTCGGTCATGCAATCGAACTTGAAGCATCTAAAGCTCTAAGCGGACTGACTCTGAACCGGTTACTGGCCGGGGTTGGTCATGGATCGCCGACTCTGGGCGAGGGTAGGAAAGAGAAGGAGCGCGTGCAGAACGGCCCACCGCATCTCTTGCGTCACCTGAGGTCCTCTCCTCATCTGCGGAAAGAAGCAATGAAGAAGCGGCCACCCCGCTTCGGCTTCAACTGGAGCGCCTGAACAGACAGGTGCAGAATCAAGGATCCTCGGCTGTTTCAGAGCAGCATGGATTCCGCAGAGCACTACCACTCCCACGACGGCGCCTGCTACTACCGCTCCTCCTGCTGCAGTGCGACTGCTACTGTGCGATTCTTCTCTTAGCAGCAGCAACTGCTGCTACTACTATGTTTGATGTTTCGCACAGCAAGAATGCAGACTGACCAGCTCCAAAGCCTACAGAAGCAGTAGAATCCGGCGGGGTACTCCCCGAAACCTTAAACCCGAACTAAACCCTTGACCCCCGGCTCTTGGAAATCGGCCGGGCTATTGACTTGGGGCAGTGAAGCGCTCGATGTTTCGTTTTGAAGCCCCGAGGGGCGCTTCCGTTTCATGTCTTGTAGAGAGAGAGAGAGAAAGAAAGATTTAGGGTTTAGCCCTCATGGCCCGGGAGAGAGAGAGGGTTTAGGCGCAAGGTCTCTCAGGTTCATGACTCATTTCATGTCCTCTGAGCGGGTTTAGGGTTTAGGATGTAGGTGTAAGGTCTCAGATTCATGGAGGGCCTAAAACCAGTAGGCACATGGTCTGTGCCAGAAACGAGACTTCGCAGATCTGTCAGCAATGAGCTCGAGCAGGGAGTGCTGTTCCTCAAGCGCGCTGGTTGATTGAAGATCGATGTTCATGGTTACCCTACGCCTTAAAGCTTAAGGTATCCTACTCCAACGCTTGTCGCGAGGGCGACGCCACTCAGGCGGGCTCTCCGAATGTGGAGGTGTGCATATTTCTGGCAATTTCAGGGTTTGCGATCTTCTCGGCTAAATGATCACTGGTGAAGCACGTTTTTCGTCGAAGAGGAAATACGCAGCCCCTCCCACATACAAACACACACACCGATCGGGTCCCATATCATATTCGGAAAGTATTTCTCGCATCCTTGCTACTTTAAGCTCCAAGGAATCCAAACCCCCAACGACATCGAGTACGACGATTTTGGTCCCGCTAAACCCCAAGCCCTAAACCCGAAACCCTAGGAGTTCCCATTTAAATCTCAAGACCAAGCACCAAGGAGGCCCGAATCCTCAGCCAACCCACGAAAGCCCAACACCGAAAAGCCGTAACACCCCACACCTTCAAAACCTATCACCTAAAGCCGTAAAGCCCAAAACCTTAAAGTCCTGAAAGTCTTGAACCCTTAAGCCCTGAAAACGCAAACAGGCTTAATCCTAATGAAGCCCCAAGGCCTGAATCTCTCGAAGGGCGAACCAACCACCTCGGCTGCATTGTCCGAGTTGCGAGAGTCCCAAACCCAAAATCCTAAAGCCCGCAACCCCTGATGTCCTGACACCCTAAAGCCATAAACCATAAACCCTGATGCCCTTAAACCCTACATCCTAGACCCTACTAAGCGCCCATAGGGCCACCGTCTCGTTATGTAAAGGCGTGCTGCTTGTATTTTACTGATAGCATCGGGAAATTGTTTCGCAGTTCACCTCGAGCTCCTGCTTTTCTCCATTCAAGTGGAGAGCATGCTAAGTGCACGAACATACGTGTACAAAAGTTGATTCCTAGACAGTTTGCAGCACGAGTACCTTGCATCGTAGGTTGGGCCTAGCCAGGCCGGAGGCAAAAAGCCCTGATAACTAGACCATGAAGCCTTGGTCCAAAAACTATCCTAAAACCCTCACCCCCAAAACCCTGATAACTCAACGCCCGAAAACTATCCTAAAGCCCTCAACCCTAAAATCCCGATAACCCTACGCCCCAAAATATCCTGAAACTCACAAGCCTATAAGTCCCCGATGACCCTGCACCCAAAAAGCCTCGCGCCCTCAACCCGAAAAGCCTGATAACCTCAAGCCCTAAAATACCCTGGCACCTGCAACCCTTAAACCTATAGCTGTAATCCTGGCTCCAGGATGGCGCCGGAGCAATCTTTACAGCGTCGCCGAAGCAACGGAGCCCACTGCACAGGAAGAGGCCAACGCCCAGGAGGAGGTGAGGCCCTGCTAGGAATGGGAGCTTCCGAACACAAGAGGAGCATGGTATAAACCCACACACACGCACACACGCACTTTCATTCTCTCTCATATGTAGAGAGAGAGAGAGAGAGAGAGAGAGAGAGAGAGAGAGTCTAGGTTTAGGGGGACCTTTTATTGGGGGTCATCTCTTGCTCTACCAAGAAAGCCTCGGGGGACGAAGACCTTTCACCGTGAAAACCTTGGGAGTGACCGCTCGCAGCAGTTGTACTGACACATGGTAGCCCTTTAGGGTCACTATGTCATCGTTGTGCAATTGTTTATATCCCTGATGTCAATGAAGGCTCCGGGACTCACGAGGTTGGGTTTGGTGCAATTTGGGTTTAGGGTTTAACGGGGGCTTGGTCTTCGTATTCCTGGGAATAGATTAGGAAACCCTGGGTCTTTGTTAGGGTTGTTAAAATTTAATATGGGTCCTATTCTTTGCTTGCTAAATCATAAGCGAGTAGCATAAGAACTCCCGCGGAAACCGCATCTGGACGTTCGGGCCTCTGTACACTAGGTTTTTTTCGGGTTCGCCAGACAGTCGACGCCTGAATGTTTTGGGTTGGCTACTGGCTCATGCTCTATAGGTCTTGATTCTAACAGACCCACACACGCCAACTTGGAAAGATTCATGTGTTACCTACAGGAGCGTTTAACCCCGTACATATCCCGCTCTGACGACGAATGCCCAATGTTATGATTCAGATGAACAACGCATTGGGGCAAAGTCCCGTGAAACAAGGGCAACGAATCTGCTGGAGCAGTGCGTCTTCTGGCGGATGTGGCTGTCACGCAGCAGGCGGAGAGTGTAGTCTCTAAATCCTGAACCCCCAGGCCCTTCACCGTTGAGCCACCAAAATTCCAACCTTCTCCGTGCGAAGCGCCAGGCTTCAGTTCCGAATTAAAACAGCCGCTACGGTCACTATACCCGAAACTTGAACCATGCGTCCTTGCCTAGAGACGAGTAGGACTCGAACTGTGCACAGCCGGCTAATCATCTGATTCTTCCTGGGTGCTCTGCAAAAAAATATGGCTTGTGGATTCAAGGATGAGGGGTTGGCGAAAGAGCCGTTGGCATCGGTTCAGCTTCAGGATGCTTCAGTCTGCTTCAGGACATCCACACCACGACCACTAATACGACCTGATTTTACATTAATAAGTAGGCTGCAGGCCGCAAGCCTGTTTCGTGCACGAAACTCTTCATGCGCAGTTGTTGTGCCTTCTGGGCAGGGCTGCTAGACGTAACCTATCGGATTCTTGGCAGTCAAAGCGAGGGTCGCGAATCTAAAGCTGTCCAAGTTATCCGGGCTGGGCTTGTTCCAATCCCCTATGCAGACAGACACTTCCCCGCCTCCATGTCCGAAACCACGGGCACTGGCGGCTTGAAAAGACGAGCTTGAAGTGTTAGCTCTTGCTGTTGATACAGAAGCCTACAATGTTTAGTACAACCATCCCTTTATAGTCCCGAAAAGAAGTTGAGCCTAACAAGTATGCCCCCGCCCCCCCCCCCCCAAGCCCTGTTTGCACGATCAAAGAGTCCTTTACAACCGCTGACTACCTCAAGGAGCTCTCAAACCCGTATGAAACCCGCAGAGTCCAAGGCCAACGACCCAGCACCGCAAAGTCGGCCTAGGGTAGAAGACTCGTGTGTTTAACATGAATCAACACATAGATGTGGGCACCGATGGCCATATACATCGACAGCAACATGTGCCTGTACTAAATAATAAACTCTAGTCTGAGAGAAGGACCCGCCGGCGCCACCCTCGCCGGTTCCCCGACCGCCCGTGGCCTCGGCCACAGTTCCCCGCACCTTGGCAGACCAGGGGTCGTGTTTAGGGCGTAAAGGCTTTTGTTCGGAATTATAGTGTTTAGAGTCATCGGTTTTATGCGGCTTTCGGATTTCAGGTTGTCGGGTTTGGATATTTTGGGTGTTATGAGGGGTTTCGGGCTTTGAGGTTTCAGGGTCAGCTTGATCTAGTGTGTAGCTCCAAGGGGCTTTCTCACAGGGTGCCGGTTGCAATCTGGACCCCTGTTCAGAAAGCACCCTCTCGCTCACATCCTTTACAGTAGTACTCGCATCTTGCATTCGAGTCCTAATACCCCTATCAAGGGTTAAGATCCTGACCTCCTGCGTCCGACTTGGGTGTTTGGTAAATTCGTGCGGGAGACCCTCAGCAACAAGATTCCTACTCTTCGGGTAGGGTTTATAGGGCTTAGGGCTTATAACAACAAGTCTGACGTTTCGGGTGGTCCACTGCTGCCTGAAGCTAAAATCAGGACTGTGAGGTTGACAGGAAGGCATGAAAGCTTCTTTGTCATACGGACAGTTCTCTAAATTAGGGTCCCTTCCTTGTAAGGTCCTTACAAAGAGGTGAAACTTTAATGCAGAGAACTACCCAAATGAGCGAGAGTATTGTGCGAGTAGCACACTACGCGAGGCCCAAGAACCACAAGAATCAGAATGCAAGTAATACGCGGGTCGGAATACTCACTCGTACTTATATTCTTCCTCAGGGCTTCGTATTATAATTAGGCGTAGAAATGTAACCCCCAAAAAACCGTATGCTTATTGTTAAGGCCCCTATATGAGCCTGGCAACCTAGTATGCAGCATCCGGCCCGTAAAGGCTGGATCAGAAGCAGAGAAGTTTGTGGCTTAAAGCCTCTATTGGTTTGTCGGCAGTGTAAATCCTGCAATGAGGCTTGTTGCGCGTCGGCAGCTGCTCACTTCGATCTAAGCCCCGGACCCAAGCTGAGCGGGCCGATGGGCCTTTGATCCTTTTTACAATACAACCCCTGAACCCAAAAGCCTCAAAATCCTAGAGACCCGAAGCCTATATCCAAACCCTTGACCAACACAGACTCCACTAATCCCTTGAGGAATTCCTGGGCCTGGCCTGCCTGTGGCCTCTACCCGCGGGAGAGAAATACAACGCAGCGAGGCAGATGAGTATTTGCGTGCAGGGTTTAGTACAGGGGTCGGAAGTAGTAGTAGCAACATCCCATTCTAGTCCCTATATTAGCCTTATATCGTAATACTGCTACTATTCGAAATCCCCAGAACCCTGTATGATGATTTGACCCCTTTGTATTGAGTTACTTGTAACCTGTAGTATGACCGATTGTCTTCAAGGCGAAGGCATATATAGAGGTTTCATGAGACGAAACCCCATTTCTTTAAATGTCTTCTGCGCTGCGGGTAGGGCTTGAGAATGTCGAGCTCTACCCTGAACCCAAAAGCCTTCAACTCAAAACTACGCTCACCCCGAAACCTTGAAAGCATCTTAAGCCCTAGAACGACACCTAATCCGAAACCCTGAACCCTAAAAATTCAAATTATTGATACTACCCTGAGCCCTAAACCATCCCCCTATAAACCTTGTTGGCCTGATGGGTGTTATGTGCTTGGCCTTCTTCGATGCAACCCTTTCTGGAGAACCCCCGGGCAGAAGAGGAGGGGACGAGGCTCAAGAAATTTCTGGGCGGACCCCTGATTGAGACGTGCTGCTCCGAACTAGACACACCTACTCAAGGGCTTCCCCACGAGTTTTAAGAATTCCCTGAACGTGTTCAACAAGATGTGCCGGAGCTGCAAGAAGGTTCTATAAGTAGCTTCCAAGCAATAAAGATCTAACAGTTATGGTTTTCCTTCCTCTGCATATTTTCCTGTACTAAACCACAGCCTTCTAAGTACAGCGAAGGCCCGAGGCCGAGGGCCCTGAACTTTGGGTTTCAATGAAGTCCCGTTTATGGGTTTACGTCAGGCTTGCACAGTCTTCCGGTAAGGGCTCGATGCATTCATCCGTAGGGAAGCTAGGAATGTTCCTATACTACGATTCAGCGCCAGGGTTGGAGATCCAGGATCGTCCAGTTAAATTTCCAGGGAGATGCCAGTCAGGAACCGACAAAATAGAACCCAAGCATAAATTTCTGGGTGGGGTATCCCTCTTCACCGCTTTACTTAAAGAGAGGTTATAGGATAGCCCCACCTTCTGGTGTTTAATTCAGGCGCTTTTTTTGTCCCCAGCCTGCAGGAGCATGGGGACCTCTCACTTCTGCATGTCCGCAGCACTACGCCAGAAGATCGGCCCCGCAATGCAGCGACCTGGATCTGATCGTACTGGGACTAGGGAGCCAAAGGGGGGTTTGCTAGGTTTTTGTTACGGGACATAAACAAAGTAAGCCAAGTTATTCTATAAATTGGATCCCTATTAAACTGAGTGGGGCTTGGCACGTGGGAGTGAGGTTTTCGGGTTTGCCAGGACAGGGATCCCAGGAAGAGGGTCTAAAACACAAAGTATCATGAACCCGAACGTCTCTAAAGCAAAAGCTCAAATCCCCTAACATCCTAAAGCCCTGCAAGCCCTGAAGCCCGGACCTTCGTGCATCTCTGTCATCCCCAAAGAGGTTTATGGATGTAAGAGCACAAAAATCCTCAGAAACCCTATAGCAACCCAAGCGCCCTACATTCCTAAACCCTAGACCTTCAAAGTGCGATCGTCGTACCAGGAACCCTCGCCCAGGCATGTCCGAGTGTGAGTGCTGAAACCTTCAAAGCCCTCCATCCTGCACCCAAGACTGTTAAACCCGTAAAACTGTACGTATAAACAGGAGTGAACGCCCTATAACCCGTAGCAGCTGATCAAAACCCATCAAAGCCCATCATGACCCCAACTCTACAAATATTCATCGAACCCTAAACCCTCAACCCCAAACCTCTTTTGGCTTTGTCTTTGTTTTCTTTGAGGCTCATCTCCGTCCATCGGCGTCCTCGCACTCGGTGGCCTCGGCGAGTACCGTCTCGGACAAGTCCATGGGCCAAGTCCTCAGAGGGCCCCAAGGTTTCACCAGGGGTTCCTCAGAAAGGGTCTTAGAGGGTTTAGGGCTCAGGGGGTTCATAAAGGGTTTCTATGTGCTTCCAGGTCTTGCGGTTTGAGGCTTGTGCAGAGGTGTTTAGTGTGATTTTGGGGTT